AGCTACCGTGCAGTCAGTGTCTCATGCCAATGCACCCATTGTGTAGTATTATTTTGTGCTTTTAAGCTGTTGCCTCATGAAAGGCTAGATCAGGAAATATCTACAGAAAAAGTTCATGCAGTGACATCAGAGGTGAAGCATTACACCTGTTTGAAAGCAGAGCACAACAAAAAATGTAGTGAACAAATCCTGAAGCTCCTTCTGCTCTAACACAAGAAGTAAAACAATGTATTAAATCAAAATGAGAGATCTGGGTAGGCAGAATGGCACAATTACCCAATTTGGAATTTGGCTATTAACACACAGTGTGGACTCTGGATACATAAGGACTGCAAGATCAGGACCCGTATAATGAAGGCATCATCTATATACTCCCATGCTACGAAGATATGCTGTTACCCCTGAGTTGAAAAGTACAGCTGCTTATTAAAAGTTGGACTGCTGTAACAATTGTGTAACCAGAGCTAGTTGAAAATGTGGAAATGATTTTTTGTGAAATTTTGAAGTTGCTTCTATTTTGCAAGTTGAAGAGGGATCCTTTTTGTACTTTTGTCACTGTTTTAAGCAATATTTATCAAATTTCAATCAATTGTGTTTTGAATTATTTCTTTAAAAACAAATCTTTAATAAACACAAAGTTATAAGGAATCATGATTTCCAGGACAATAAAAATGTAGTGGTTTTGAAAATTAATTCAAGAAACAATGTGGTAGAAGTTTCATGAAAAACTCTAAACATTTTACTGATGTCAAAAAAAAATTTATAAAAATTAAATTATTATTATTTTTTTAATTAAGAAAAAGGTTGGCCAAAACATCAAGCAAGCAGTTTTGACCAGTGTTGTTTGTGAATTACTATCATGTTGGTTAGAGGACAAGTTTTATTCCCAGTCCTAGCATGACATTAAAATTAATATTAAGATTACCACAGCAGCTAAAAGTTGTGTTTATAAAGAAAAGCTCCTATTATGGTACATTGTATTTGTCTTTTGTCAAGGTTGCAACCAGGGTTGCAAAAGTTGAATACCTCTGGCAGGGGTCATTTGCTTTTCATTCCAGCGGCTATTGTTCATCCTTTTTTAACAATTAAAATGCAAAGAATATCAGCCAAAACCAACAACCACAAGCTAATCTATTATATACATATACAGACCAAAAAAAATCCTGAATCACTTAAAATCAAAGTGTAAGATAAATACAGCTAGATAAGAGAATATAAGGGAAAAATAACATTGGTTAGTGTGATAGGCTGTATCTCAGGATGGTTGTTGATTTTGGCTGATATGCAAAAAAAGAATATCAGCGGACGTCGACCACACTGGAGAGCCCCCTGCGCTCCTGTGGGATGCTCCATCTGCCCCACCATTTCAGCATTCACAAGCCACCTGGTACCTTGAGGTATGGAGAAAAAACATTTAAAGCTGTGTCTATGTCCAAATCTCCAAATCTTTCCGAATCTCTCTGAAGCAATTTGGAGGGTTCCGATTCGATTTGGAGAGATTAAAAGGTCTCCTGATTTGAGTTGGATTCAGAGATTCAGCCATTGAATTGGGTCGAATCTCCGCTGAATCAAACCAGGGACTGAAGCTTTTGTACCAAGCACCCTGTTTTTTTTTCTTTTTTTGCAAAATAGCTGCTTTTGTTACATACCCAGCACTACACTCTTTGTGCTAGACACCTCTTTATTATATCAATAACCAGAAAAGAGTCTCTAGAACCTTTCAAGATATCTACATGGGTGAACCTTTTTGATCATATGGATCTTCTCTGAGGATTATCTTCAAGTCAGGAATTTCCTTAGAGCTGTGTGAAAGATGTTTGGGTTTTTTACATTTTCTGTTAAAAAGGAATAATGAATTTTTCATGGGTTTTTTTTACTTATTTTTTTTACTTTACTTTGTAAGTCTCGCTTCAAAGTACTGGCCCAGCTCAGACCTGTGTAGCTTGCAATGATTTCTTATAACTCTCAAAAAGGTGCAGCTGGAGACAACAGGCAAAATTAGTAGGTCTTATGAAAACTGTGAATGGTTTCCAGTGCTGGGGGGAGGCGGGGGTGGGGAGGACTTCTTGGCAGGTCCACAGGGGTGGGCTTTGAAGTCCACAGGAAAGCAGTCAGATGGTGGTGGGGGCAAAATTGCTTTGTCAGGGTTAGGTGGGGTTAAAACAGCACAGCCCTGGTTCTGTGACAAGTGGATGGGCTTTCCCACCCCAGGATTGTGCTGTGAAAGCATATAGGCATGTTAGGCCACATTAACTCTTTTTAGATCAGGGTAACCCAGACTGATCTAAAGTTGGCTCACCTCTGAGGTGAGCCAACTTTAGATCGAGCATGCCATTTTTATGGCGATTGAAGCCCTGTGAATGCCTGTATGGTCAGCCATTTAGATTGCCCTAAACTCCGTAAATGTAAATGTTTTTTCAACATACTCGTGCTATGTTTTAGATGATTCCTTTTTTCCAGCGAAATAAATGAGATAAAGTGAATGATAAATTGAATCTTTCCTTGCACAGATGTTAAACTGAGCATTTTACATTTGTTTCTTTAAAGTGTGTGTGTATGTGTGTGCACGTGTGTGTGTTGTGGAGGGTTCCAATAAGGAGAATATGCGTTCTAATGCTTCCCGAGACACGCTGACAAATAGTGTGGCATTTCCAAGGTGCAGATTAAAGAAGTTTTCTATGTTCCAGCACTGTGGGGTTTATTTTCAAATGACCTTATTATTAATCCAGGTAGCTAGCTACATGTAAATACTATTTCTTTTATTAGAGTACTTTTCTTTTCACTCACAAAACTGCTCACAGTTTTCTTTGTAGGCCTTCTCTAAAGCCTTGTCAAAATCAGTGTGAGTTTTTCCAGTAAATTCAGGTGTGTGTCAGGCCCTGTATTTCTACTAGACCCAACTAGAGACAAATGAATCAGAAAGTGTCTGCTAGTAACATGTGATTAATGAAAGAAGTCCCATTCTGAAATAGGTTTTCTTTTAAACAACATTAGAACTCCATTTATGCTCATCCAAACTTTAAATCCATTCCATATTCCAGTACAAACCTTTGAATTCTCTTTATGAAGAGCAAGTACAATTTGCATCCAGGGTCTCATGTAAAGATTAGAGTAAAGAATGTGACCTGCCTACTTATAATTTATGAACAGTTCAGCTAAACTACATTTCTGAATTTTAAAGCAAATTCGGCAATATAATAATTGTATCTATTCATGCTATTTGTAATTTCCAAGTGGTAAATCATCATTTGTAAGAAATGCGCTCAATCAAGGAAGAAAAAGACATATAATTATGTCGTTTATAATGAATTCTGAAGGAAACAAAGACTTTAAGAAGGAAAACTCTGGAGAAAACCAAGGAATAAAATCCAGCCCAATAATATGGGTTGCTCCTAAAATGCATAGCTGATCAAACATTTGCATTTATAATATGAAACTCAGTATCAGATAATTTAGCAAGGGAACTGTCAAAACTCAGGAGTCTAGGCAAACAAGGCCTGACTTTTATTAGATAAATTACACACTCTTTTCTACTTCGACAAGCATCAATGGTATCAACTTTTTTGACAAATAGCTCTCTCCTGGGTGCTAGTTTTGAGCATCTCTGCTAATCTTCATCTTTTGAAGTGTCCAAAGGATTAAAATCATGTGTCAATAACAGTGGCCTCTCACCTTTATATGGAAGATACTGCAGTCCCTTTCTAATAGCTAAGTCTGTAATGTAGGATGAGATGTATAAATACTAAGAAACCACTGTGGCATCCTCATTGCAGAAATTTGTGGATTCAGGAAAGATGCTCTCTTACTGTAGGACTTTTGAATAGTCGATATTGTCTGGGAGAATTGGGTATAGAATCCTTTACATTTTGCTTTGGTTTTGCAAACAGCACGGATTGCAAAGTCACATATCTTTCACATAAGGTAAATAAGAAAGGAAGGACAAAATAATGTGCATTGGTTTTCTATTGAAATTTCTGTCTGCTTTCTAGATTTATTGGGCATGGAATTAGTTTTACTGCAGGCAGCTTCAGAAAATGCACTAATTAATCTTTATTCTTACCACAAAGATAATATATATTAGGCCTCACTCCTCTCACCTTGGTGTAAATCAGGAATGATTTGAAGGTGGTGGAATTACACCAGTGTAAAACTAGAGAAAGAATTATCAGCCTGAATATATGCATATGAGAGTAATGATGACAGAGTGTGAGTAATAGACAAGACAGGAATAACACTTTAAAACCAAGGTAGCTTACTTTGGTGAAGCTGAATCTGGCATAAATGTTGTACCTATTCAATCTTAACCTGCAGTAAATGAGTCGAGGCTGCAGTAGTTTCCCTGTTTCATTCAGGGGTAATTTAATGAGGGTTAGTGCATAGACAGTGTAAGAGTCTAATGTGTAAAAAAGGGAAATCAAAAAAAAGAAAACCCTTGAGTCTTGTCACGCCTTGATGGGAGAAAAATTTATAAGTTATCAAAAGGAGGACTCCTATTGGTGTTTACACATGCTATATTCTCTTTCTTTCTTTATTTTACACATCTTTGTCCACATCAGGTCAAAACAGAAAGAAAAAAGAAAAAAACCTTGTGTGCTGTGGCTCAGATTCTTTCAACAGTATAACACAAACAGATAAGCAAAGTCCCAAATAGATTGCCCAGTCTCAGCCTTGGTAGAGAGGGGTTACTCTTGCCCCCTCTCTGTTCTTCTTTAGCGATAGGTCTCACTGCCGTTTGTAAAGTCTCTCAACTTACAAATAACCCAGTTACTTTCGTCTGGGTGCAAAATGTCCCCTCTGTCCACCTTCAGCTCAGTCAGCAGTCGCTGGGCTTCTCCCCCTACGTGCTGACTCTCCTTCATTCCGTGCCTCTGCACGAATCACTCTGGTTGTCACTTTACCAGAACTCATGGTTTCCCTTCTGGGGGAAGATTCAGTCTTTCCTGCTTACTTATCAGCAAGTTGTTTCCGGTGAGTCACTGCTTCATGACTCTCCCCTGCAGGTGCAGTTCAGTGTCACTGCCACCGTTTGATGACGTCATCGTTTCTCTGACCGCTCCACAGCAGCTGCGGTAAGTAGCGTTTCCTTATACCATAAGTAACAGGAGGATGGCCTCCCTGTTACATACCTCCCCCTTCAGTTAAAAGTCCCAATATTACGTTTCTTTTATTCTTCTATTGTCCACCTCACATAACTACCTCTGGTGTCACCAGGCATGTGATCTCTTTAGGGTCTAAAGATTGTGACAGAAAGTCAGCTGCTATGTTCTTCTTCCCAGCTTGGTGTTCTACCAAAAAATAGAATGGTTGTAATGCGAGAGCCTAGGGTATTAGTTAAGCGTTATCGGTTTTAGCTGTCTGCAGCCATCTGAGGGGTGCGTGATCAGTAATTAATATGAATTTTTGCCCTAACAAATAATAACGAAAAAGTTCCACCCCCATCTTATGGCTAAGCATTCTATTTCTATCATAGAATAGCGTGTTTCTGGTTCACACAATTTTTTGCTCACATATGCTGTATGCCTTTCCTCCCCCTGAAATCGTACTGCCCCTAACACCTTCCCTGAGGTGTCAGTTGTAAATAAAAAGTCTCTTGAAACTTAGGGGTATATAAAACAGGTTCTTTACAAAGCAGCTGTTTAATTATGTCAAACACTCTCAGGGTTTGCTTTGTCCACTGCAGCTGTCTGGGCTTACCCCTCATCATAGCTGTCAGAGGTGATACTACCTCTGAAAACTTCTTGATAAACCTGCGATAACAATTAACAAAGCCTAAAAATGATCTAAATTGCTTCAGTGTCTTGGGTAACTTATATCTATGTATAGCCTCCACTTTGTCTGCTACAGGCTTTATGTATCCCTGCCCCACTTGGAACCCAAGATATTGAGTTTCCTCTTGGCCCAAGCTACATTTCTTTGGATTTGCAGTTAGTCCTACATCCCTTGGTTCCTTTAAAATGACAGTGTGGTTCCCTGTCAGCAGAGAAGATTATGATATCATTAATATATGCAGCTGCATACATTTGATGTGAGGCCAACGTCCTGTCCATTAAACACTGAAACGATGCTGCTGCACCATGCAGCCCAAATGGCATTCTGTTGAATTGAAATAACCCCCACGGCATACCAAATGCTGTTTTTTCTTTATCCATTGGGGTCATTGGAATTTGCCAGTAACCCTTCATAAGGTCTAGCATTGAAATGTATTTGGCCTGACTGATTTTCTTTAGCATCTCCTCAACTCATGGCATCAGAAGCACATCAAATATGGCTACTTTGTTTACTTTCCTGAAGTCTACGCACACCCTAATATTTCCCTCTGGCTTAGGCACAACAATGAGGGGGCACTCCAGGGGCTATGGGGTTCTTCTATTCTGTCTAACTGTAACATCTGTGTAACTTCTTGTTTAACGGCTTGGCATAAATGACGAGGCAACCACCTCCAGTGATGCCTTATAACGCAACCTTCCAGTGTTCTAATACTATGCTCCACACCTTTAGCTTTGCCTGTTTTTTTTTGCTAAATACATCTGGGAACTCTTGTACCAGTCATTCTAACTCTTGCTTCTGAATACCCGAGAGTGTCTTTCCTATCTTAGGCTCTCCATTTGTAAATTCTGATAATATAGGGTCACACACATTATCCAAATCCTCTGACTCTAGACCTCCTTGCATCAGCCATGCATCTCTTTCATTCAACTTCTTCAAAAAATTAACATGGTAATTCTGTTTTCTTCTTACTGGGCTAGTTCATTGTACCTTATAGTTCACTGGTCCTAGCTTTTTAGTGATTTGGACTGGCCCCTGCCAATGTGCCAACAATTTGTGGCTATTATCAGGTAGCATGACTAGTACCTCGTCTCCTTCTTGTAGCTCTCTATCTTTTGCATGGGTGCCGTGTGTCTGTTTCTGTCTCTGTTGACAGCATTCTAAGTTTTCCTGAGCTACAGTTCACACCGTCTCTAATCTTTCACGGAAGTCCTGCATCAAATGTGGTTGTCTCCCTTCACCTGTCAGTCCCTCCAACTAACCTTCACAAATTACATCATGTGAACCCCTAGGCTTATGTCTGTGGACTAATTCAAAAGGGGCCCCTTGAATACAGATTCTTGTCATCCCCCTAAGCGTCCAGTTAAACTGTTCAGCTAGACCAGGGGTAGGCAACATTTTTTGGCCGGAGTGCTGAAAAAAACCACAGTGTCTACCTTGGAAGGTGCCGGAGTGCCAACATGCCAGAGCCCAGAGCAGCTGTTTTGCAGCCTCACAGCTGAAGCTGGCCCACAGAGCCTGGTCCACTTGCAGCAGGGCTTGCAGTCTCCCAGCTGCCTGCTGGGAGTGTCCTGGGCTCCATGGCTGGCAGCAGCTGCTTAGAGCCTGCACTGGCAGTGGTATGCCAAGCAAAATGGCCTTGTGTGCCATGCTCAGCAAGTGTGCCAGGGGTTGCTGACCCCTGAACTAGACCATCCATCTGGGGGTGATAAATGGAGGTTCTTAGCTGTTTTATCTTCAGGGTGTGGCAAATACCTTGTAAAACTCCTGACATAAATGACTTTCCTTGATCTGTTAAGTTTTCTTGAGGAAGACCCACTCTTGCTACCCATTTTACCAACTTCTCTGCTACTTTGGGGGCTGTAATAGTCTTCAATGGGATGGCCTCTAGGAACCTCGTGGTATAATCTACTATTACCAGGACATATTGCTAGCCTGCACTACTTCTTGGAAAATGGCCCATGATGTTTAATGTGATTCTTTCAAAAGATCTTGTTATGATAGGCATTGATACCAGCAGTCCTTTCATGGGTTTATACCCTGACACACACTGACACTCAGGACATTCCTTATAAAACTTTTCTACAATCTTGTAGAAAATCCTGGCCAAAACATTCTCTGTTTTAATCTAGCTTCAGTCTTATCTAGGCTTAAATGAACGCCCGTGGGAAGTGTATGGGCTACTTTCAATATTTGCATCCAATATTGCCTGAGCACCAGAATTTGTAAAATTTCGTCGCTGCCTTTACCCTTGTCTATTCTGTATAAAATGTCATCTGTCATGTCAAAGCGTGATGTTTTATCTGCTAACCCGGGGTTGAGTACTTCCTCCTGTCTCCTGGCTAGGCCTTCTTCAGAGATGTTCCAAAATAATGGTTCCTGCTCTTGGTGTTCTCTAAAGTGCCCACCTCCAATGATAGCTTCAAGGTCTACCTCCTCTTCTCTCTGTTCCTCTCCTTGGGGTCCCATCCCCACAAAGACTCCTTCTACTTGTCTTAAATATTGTCAAGCTTTTAACTCACTCATAGCTTTCACTACTGCTTCATTCAAATGGGGCCAATCTGTTCCTAAAAGCATAGGACAAGGAAGTGACTTGGCTAGTCCCACTGCTGTCTCCTTGGTTTGACCCAGCACTGTTAGACTTAACTTCTTCTTGTAAGGTCCCTTAACTTACAAATAACTTAGTTACCTTAGTCTGGGTGCAAAATGTTCCCTCCGTCTGCCTTCAGCTCAGTCAGCAGTCACTGGGCTTCTCACCCTATGTGCCGATTCTCCTTCACTCTGTGCCTCTGCACAAGTCACTCTGGTCATGCTCTACCAGAACTCATGTTTCACCTTCTGGGGGAAGATTCAGTCTTTTCTGCTTACTTATTAGCAAGTCATTTCCAGTGAGTCATTGCTTCATTACTCTCCCCTGCAGGTGCAGTTAACATTGCCACCACCATCTGATGACATCATCGTTTCTCTGGCCACTCCACAGCAGCTGCGGTAAGTATCATTTCCTTATTTCATAAGTAACAGAAGGATGGCCTCCCTGTTACAGACAGACAAAATAGTTACACCACTTTTAAAGAGGTTGATGGGAAGACTTATGGTGTGCAGATGAACCCAACATAATTGTTTTAATATGAGTGGAGCATACCAAAAAAACAGTTACAGCAGATCAGCTGTAAGTTACTGAGAGGTAAGTTGTCTGCTCTTTAAAATGGTACATTTCTCCATGCCCTTAGTCTTGCTTTTGGGGGTAGTTGGATTTCCTGTTTAGGGTACTTCGTTGAAGTGAAGTACATCACTTTCTTCTTCCCTTCCTTGTGTATTAAATTCATACAATAGATTCAGACTTCATTTTGCAGCAAACAGCATACATGTAGTCTGTTCTTATTGTTTGCAGGTAAAGTCAAGTCACAAATGATAATGTGTGTGTGTACATGTGTGTGTCTGTGTGGTTTCTTTTTGGGAAGTTGGTGTAAGAGCAATGCTTTGGTTAAGCTGCTTTTATTGTATGGTAGTACTTAGGTGCTGGCTCCATGCACATGATTATCATAGTACTCTGGAACTTAGGAAACCTGGGTTTAGTTTCTTGCTCTGCCATCAGTTTCTTCTGTGATCTTGAGCAAGTAACTTGTACTCTCCCATTGTCTCTGTTCCTTTAGAAAATGAGATTAATAGTATTTTCTATCTCACAGGGGTGTTGGGAGGACAAACCCTTCTGAGGCATTTAGATGTTATCATCGTTATGGGGGCCATATGTATAGGAGAGATTGACTAAAAGTACTGGGCTGGGATTTTATTTCCGTTTTAATACAGTATTACAGAACACACTGATTTCAAAGGCATATATCCCTAATATAAAGGCTAATGGCCTGCATGTTTTTCTTTTGACTTTAGTGGGGGAAGGTTTCATGCTACAGGTATAATGTCTCTCTGGGTGTGTTTTAACTCAGTGATAAAAGAGCATTCTGATTACTTTATCAGTTGGAAGCAACTTATTAGACTAAAACAACCCTAGCAAACCTGTTTCTGCTTGCGGGCCTAATCCTGATCTGCCTTATGGAGGATTCACATGGCTTTGCTTTGACCCCTTTTTCTGGTTTGACTTCAGTGAAATTATTCCTGTTTTCCACTCGTTATTCTGGTATTATTCTTGCCAAAGCCTGCAAATTCTTTTTAAGTCATCATTCAGGCCTGAATTAGAGAAAAGTGCTATCGCCACAACTGCTGTTGCTGCTGTTTTGCTAATGTTATTGCAGTACTGCCTGTCAAAAAAATAATCCCCCAAAATACTGTATTGTCAGTTTTGGCTGCCATCCTGAAAAAACAATGCGCGTTGTCAAAAAAAAATGACAGCTGGTCTATCTTCATCTCCTGATGAACATAATTAAAAAACCAAGAACAACTACCATATTAAATACAAAAGTAAAAAACTTGCACAATAGACAACAAAATTCTGTCCAATGACTAACTTGATCCTTAAGTTCAAAACATATCCTTTAGCCTGGAGATTCCCAAGCTATGGGAAGTACCAAATTTGAGTTGCTTGATAAGCTGGTAACTCACTGGTGAGCTGACAAGAGTTAGCTAGTTATGGGGTATTGATTTTTCTTACTGTTTTCATTTGCTAAATTGCATTAAAACCTAGGTAAAATGTATTGAACAGTCTTTCATGTAAACAAATATGAAGGGAAACTGCAGCTCAGAGAGAGAGAAAATGTATAAGGGAACATGATTATTTTTTCAGTTTAACCTACACTGTGCATTGGAGCATGTGCTAGAGACCTAGGGGGAAGATTTTTGCTGATCCCTTACTTGCATATTTTGTCATTTCTAAGAGGAAAGCCCAAAGTTAACCCCATTCTGATGCATTTTTCAGAGGAACCCTTTGTGATTGGGAGAATTCCTGTTGTATTGTGGAAGAGTATGTGTCCAGGGACAGATAAAACAGTGAGCCGTGGAAGGTTTAGATTTCAGCTTAGTGAAACTAGGGTTGTGTACCGTCTTTGCAATTGGTTGTGTATCAAAGCCTTTCTGCTTGGCACAAGCCATAGTACTCATAGCCTTGGTGTTCAGCTTTTTGTATATTCTCCCATTAAGCAGAAAGTCCCTTCAAGGTCGCTGTTCTGGTATAATGAAAGCCATCTTCAGCACTGGCCCAGTGTCCCTGAAAATCCTATTTCTTTTTTTGAGCATAACTTCTCATGATAGTTAAGTTGAACCACTAGAGCTACGAAATTGACAGCGAGTAGAGAGGCTGTTTCTGTAGGAAACAAAACTTCAAAAGAGCTGTCTCAAGAAACAACAAGAGTGGCTGTGGCTAAATCTTCTCAGAACTAAATGAAAAACATATTTCTGTGACTTGGATTTTCTTCAATAGCTCTTTATAGAGCTGTAGTGCATCCACTTCCCTTGCACAAACATAAACCAACACACGCCAAGCCACTCATCCCATTAAGTTATTTCTCTTAAAAGTGTGGAAAGGAAGAGAAATTATTTTTGTTCTGGAATGTTTAAGTGGCTTTTGGTCAGCTTGGAAGTATGGGCCACATAAATATCTGGATAGCTAAAATGAACAGTAACACAGCTTCAGGTGTTGATGGCCCTTGCCTTACACCCCATTACGCCTCTTTCATTAAGCACATTTTTATAAGACCTGTTGTAGAGTTATATGGAGCCACAGCACTTAGAGCAGTTGGTCCCACCTGTGCGCATTGTATTACAGCTCAAACAATGTGCCACACAATTGTAAAGAGTGGTAGAGAGTTGGAAATCTGATAGTAAGTCAGATTTGGAGAGACAGCAAGATTAGTGGCTCTAAGTTTTCCTCTATGGAGAACTGCCAGAGGACAACTCCTTCTCTTTCTATGAAGTAACAATGGGGGATTTCCCTAAACATCTGGCTGCTGGCTGGCTATCTTGAAAATACAGCCTGAAAAAGCTATCTGCCAGATATGCACAGCTGTGTGTCAGTTTGTCACTGCTGAACTATCCACAGCATCTGCCAAATGCCAGGTTTTGTTCTTTTTTTTGTTTCCTTTTTTTTTACTTATGGAATCCATTAGAGGGATAAAATCCACTAAACAATACCAAATACTATTAAACAGTGGTTGCCAACTTACTGTAATAAGTAGTAAAGAAGGGTTCCATAGTTTATAGTTTTTAAACATAGCATGGTTTTCTTACTGTTGTATATTGGTCACCTTAAGTGATTCTTTACATGCCATTTCATTGAAAAGCCATTGAAAGAGTCCAACCCCATTGTTGTAGATCAGTGGGAGCCAACGTTTTTGAGATATGTCACAAATTAGCCCCACACCCTCTCCAACTGTCACTCTAATCCTCCTCCATTGTCCAGTCTCCTGCTATGCTTTCTGTTCCCCATTTTGTGCTCCCTGCCCAATGCACTGCTCTGCTTTCTGGTCCTGTGATGTCTGCTGCTGTAGTACTTGTCAACTCCCTGATCTATCGCTTGCCACACAGAGAAGCTACCCATGCTGCTTGTAGCACTTATGCAACAAGATAGCCTCCCCGGTATAGATCACGAGGAGAAACTCTTATATAGAAACAGCTTAATTACTTTCTTTCTTCCCGGTTCTCTATTTTTGTTATCACCTTCCCAAGTTTCAGTTTGAGAAAATAAGTTGTGAAGAATTTTTAATTTATGCTACAAGAATGGTTTTCACTACTAAGGAGACAATGTCTCCTCAGCATTTATCAAATGTATTTTTGGTAGTGCCATTTGGAATGGGTTATCCAGAAAGCTAGAGATCTCAAAGAAACACTTGATAACTTCTGAACAGATTAACTCTATTCAGTCCTCTCCATTTATGCTTAATTTCTTTTCACAAAATTTACTATACTAAATACTGTAGATTGATGGGATTAGACTCCCAATTTTTTGTGGTTCCACGTATCTGTAGTTGAATGCTATAAGGAAGTATGCTGTAGAAAAACTGACAGAGACAATTGTATGCATCTTGAAAGAATAGCTGCATGGACATTAATCTTCGTAGTCTTACCTCCTCATCACAGTCCTCACTGGTTTATTAGATACCATTATCTGTGACTTTTTCATAAGTTGAGTGTACATTTTCTTTCCTGAATTTAGTCTCCATTTGAACCATATTCTGCACCTCAGTGTCTTAAATGGTAAAATTCCAAGTAGTTTATTTCTCTTTCCTGGGTTTTACTCTTCTCATCCTTGCTAGCTTCCTAAGTTATTACCTTGCCAAGCAATTCAAATGTGGTACTTTTAAGTCCCCTGTTCTCTGTCCCATCCACACCCCCAAAACACCCCTGTCAACTCTTAATTCAATTTTCTTTGCTGAAGTCCCTCCATTGTACATAATACTATATTAGCACTGCAGGTGTCCTAAAAATTGAATGTAATTTATTCTCATCTTAGTCTCTTCAGTGCCATATAGGAAGGGACCATAATTCTCTAGATTATTTGGTGTCCCTCTACATACCATCCCAAATTTCAGCAAAATTGAATCTCCTCCACTCTGCATGTTGTATTAAAAGCTTGTTTTAAATTTGCTGTTCACTATCAGCCTTAGGTTACAACTTCCCATCTCTCTCCTATCCACTGAATACTTGTTTTACATTATTTTCCCACAGATGGTATTAACTACATGTATCTAGGGTTGATTCTCATTTTGATGTTCCCTGACCTTATTTTCCTAGATCCATTTGCATTGGATCCCTTGTCTAGCTCATAAATAAAGATAATGTAACAGACCCCACAGCAGGGTGTTGTGATAAACCAGTCCCTCGTTGTTTGGAAGCATGCTGGGTGTAGCATAATCTTGTAGGCACTAGACTTCTTGTGCCCTTGTCTTCAGTGAGTTCCCAAAAATACACACTCTTGATGAAGAGAATTAATATATTAGAGCTGCTAGAAGTAAAAGGTGCAAATACTGTAGGTACAGTGGTTACAATAAAAAACATAAACCCAACCACCTTCAAAGGGCAGTTAAGTCCTAAGGTATAAC